CACTGCAATTCAAACCCACCAGCCACTCTCAGAAACCCTCTACGGGGTAGCTAGGCATTGGAACTGATTCACTGGCACACAACCGTAACACTGACCAATTAAAACCTGGAAAACCTCCATCTTAATAGCTGTGCATATCAGTGGGGAATCAAAGTCCATGAAAAAATGGCGTTAGTCAAAATGGGATTTTTCCAGGAACTTTTTGAAGCCCCCTCATCTGACCTGGATGCCCCATTCCTGAGCCAGTCACCACTGCTGAGCATTTGGTTCTGAAATGATTATTTAAGTAATAAACCTCTACATCTTTATCTCATAATTCCCTTCAAACTCCTCTGTCAGTTTGTCTGACTGTGATTCTGAAAGTGCTGCCACAGGTATTTTAAAGACCATCAGGGTCACCCATAGTGGACAGGTCTCAGCTGAGCTTAAAGACAAAGACAGACTCGGAAGAAGGAGGGGCAAACTAATTCTGAATGTTTGTTGTTGTTAAGTTGTTAAATGCCATTGAGTTGGTTCTGACTCCTATCAACCCTGTATAGGGTTTCCAAAAGCGGCTGGTGAGTTTGAACCTCCGACCTTGCAGTTCAAACTGACCTTGTGGTCTAGAGCTTATGCTCAGCGCCACACCAGAACTCCTGATGAATGATAACCACTGAGAACCTGAGGAAGAGCATCAGAACATGTCAGACAGCGTGCCGGAAGATGAAAACCTGATGAAAAACATGAGACTATCGTCAGCTGTAGTGCTGAAAGATGAGCCCCTTAGGATGGAAGGCACTCAAAATGCAACCAGTAAAGAGCTGCCTCCTCAAAGTATACTTGAACGTGATGACAAAACTGGAAAAATAAAAAGCTTTGGGGGTCTTCCTTTGTTTTAGGGGCACAACTCAAAATGAGGAGAAACATCTGTAAACATCCATTAATAATCGGAACATGGAACATAAGAAGGATAAATCTAGAAAACTTGGGAAGTTGTCAAAACTGAAATGGAACGCATAAAGGTCGATAGTCTAGGCATTATTGAGCTGAAATGGACTGGAATTGGCAGCTTTCAATCTGACAATCATATGCTTTACTATGCTGTTGTTGTT